ACTTGCGCTGCATTTCCTCGCCTACCCTACTCAACCCCGATTCTCACCACCGACGGCTGTACATCATATGGTAAACGAACACCACACACCCTAAGAAGCGAACTTTACTCAGCTACAACATCTCGCTGAGGGGGTGGGTATGGCACATGGGAAAGGGGAAAGAGCGAGAAAAAGAAAACGAAGCCGTTGTTTGCTTGGTGTATCTTCCTTAGTTTGATTACTCGACGCACACTCACTGCCATCAAAGGAGTTTACGCTCTACTCCCACTATTGGAAGCAAGGAGGGCGGGAAAGCCCAGTGAAGATGGAAACCCTGACGTAGAACATCGACCACCGTCTACCTACAGCCGAAATGAATTTGGTCAACACTACCAAGTCTTTGGAGCCCAAGCCCTCCTCTACAAACTTTGTCACGCAGCAGTGCGTCATAGGGTGCAGACAGACTTGCAGAAGGAAGCAGGCGAGGAAACGTCAAAGAAGAGGGCATTGATCCGCTTGGAGGAAGCCAAAGGCAAGAAGGTTTTGTCGTGGTTGACCACACAAGGATAGTCAGCACATGAAAGAATGCTGCCTCATCTACATCGGGAGTCAATCAGTCGTGTACTGGGGAGTCACGATCGAACCGCTGTTAGTAACCTTGATCGACTTCATAAGTCGCGAGGGAACGGTTTACCTTCGAGCTAAAATATTACGGTGGCACAGAAGAATTGAGAGCAAATTTTTGCTTTTTCCGGCGAAAAAAATGTTTCTGGACAAGGCGTGTACACAGTAAAAGCTAGGCCAGTAGACCTACCACACATCAAATGAAAGACGGCAACCACAGCTTTCAAATGAGCCTGGTCTTGCTCTTATCAGATAACGACAAGGTACAGCAGTAGCCGGAGATGTATAGCGTATTTTTTGACTGTATTTTAATGTGGGGAGGCGAAAAAAAAAATGACCAAGAAATAGCAACGCAAGTAGAACGTTTTGGAAACTCCATAATTTGGCGCGCGGGACCATCAGACCAGCTTTTGAAACAACGCAGCCGTTGTCGAGTACCACACGCTGGAAGAGGGGCCTCCCAGCTGTCGGCCGATGACAAAACCGAAGGGCAGCAACAAGCCCACCGGTGGTGTCGGTGGACGCGAGACGAAGGCGAGAAAGAGAGCCAAGACGGCAGCGGCGAGAGATGCTTTGACCCTGGACAGACGCAGCGCTAAGCTTGAGCAAGAGCGTGCAGCGCTCGCGTCGGAGATGGCGCAGAGAGAGCAAGCGCTCAGAGCGAAGGGGCAAGCGCTTAGAGCGAAGGAGGCGGCTTTCGCCAACAAGGAGGAGGCAGCGGCGCGTGCCGCTGCGCAGCGGGAAAAGCGTGAGCAGGAAGAGGTTGAGCGCGTCGAAGCGGCAGCTGCTGCTGCGGCGGAGAAGGTGGCTCAGGACCTGGGACTACATGGACACATCTGTGCACGAGGTGAAGCCGAAGAAGGGCGAGGTCTGGACTCAGTTGCAGTCAAGGATGGTCCTCATGCTACTCTTCGACCTCCGCAAGGAAGGTCGCTATGAGAACGAGGCAGTGTTGCAGGTCAGTACACAGCGGTGAAGGTTGGATGGTGCGGCACAGCAGCAGGCCGATGCCTTTCTTTATATTTTCATCTTGATCAAATAGGGGTAACGGTTGTCGGTGTTTGAATGTACACTCCGGAGTATGTGCGGTACACCCTGTTTTTGCTGCGGTTTACAACAGCAGTATGCTCATGTGTGGTGTGTGTTTTCGTCGTATGTTGGGTGCGAGCGTGTGCCGTTCGGTACATGTTTGACTCACCAGTCTATGTCACACAAATTTTCAGCAGGAATACATTATACTGCTGTACAGCAATACTTCACAGCAGTACTTTACACCAGCACTTTACAGCAGACGAGCAGGCTTGAACGTGCGATGTCTCACTGCTGTACAATGTCCAAGTGAACTGACCTCATTCATGAACGATGTTGCAATATATTCTCTTCTCTGGACATCTCTATGCTGGCAGGTCGCCCGCACTTTCAAGATCGGCCACGACAAGGTCAGGCGCATCATCAACCACTGGTGGGATCATCGCCAGTTGTACGAGACCACCGCCGACAGGAGAGGAAGACGGCAAAGGAGGATCATGGGCGACGCCGCCTCACCGAAGTCCAAGCAGATCAACTTCGCGAGTTCATCAACGACGAGCACAAGCCCGGTCGTCAAGTCTTTCGCCGCACGGTGGCAGAATGGATGCACAGGACTTGCAACATGGAGCAGCCATCCAACCGTTCGGTAGGAGGGCTGCTGAGTAGGCTTGGCTACAAGCGTCGTAGAGGCAGGATCAAAACGCCGCCGTTGAACGCCGAAAGACTTGTTGAGATGGACATGGCAAAGAGGGCAGAGAATGCTGGGTTAGCAGTGATCGTGTACACGGACGAGAGTTTTGTCCACCAGGCTCATGGTTCCCCGTATTCTTACTTTCCTTCGGACGAGAATGGAGTTGTGCAGGATGGGATTGGTCGCAAAACACGGAAGGGCTTGCGCATGAGCATGGTGCATGCAATCACCAAGTGGGGGGCGTTGGCTAAGTTTTGTGATGGGTTTCCGATCGAAGAGGGTTGGTTCAAGGAAACTGGTAGCGGCAAGAACACAATGGGAGATGAGGAGACAGCAGAGTTTCTGTGGCAGGCTAAGTTGGCAAAGGGAGATTTCCACGCAGCAATGACAGACTCGATGTTCATGGAAAGGCTTGAACACCGCCTTAGTCCAGCGTGCAACGCGATCCCTGAGTTCCAAGGCAAGCAGATGATCCTTGTTCTTGACAACGCCTCATACCACCATGGATTTGACGCGGAAGTCAAAGTGCCGGAAACAACACCTGGTCCTTCATTCCCTGCAGGGAACAGGGAATAGGCAACCTCAATCAGCCGGACGGGTACGATACAGATGATGTGTCGCCCGTGGGTCATGTCGAGAAAAGGGTAGGGGAGCAGATCCAGCAGGAAAGTGCAGAATGGGGTGATGGCAGCGACGAGGTTGAACCATGATAAGATTTTTTCCAGTACTGTGATCGATTGCTCCGCCCATGCACTGGGCGTGCCATGTTCCAACAGCACCCATATGTGATTGGTCTGCGCGGGGGGTTGGGTCCCTCCTTCCAGCTTCTGCAGTTGTCCTTGAAAAAAAAATCAAAAATATTCAAATGTCGACAAGTTTTACCCCGGATGCAGCTTGCCACACGTTAACTGCATCCATTTTTTATCTTCTTGCGTATTGACCGCCTTCGTCATGGAAGCGTTTTGCGCTCCTGTATGCCGCCAGGCGCTTCAAACTGTTAGTTACAGGCCGAGAAGTAGGGATACCAATGTTGGCCGGACGTTCCCGGTCATTTTCTCCGATTTTGAATCTCTGCTCAGGTACACGACAAGCCATAACTCAAGCAATTTGCAATATATAAATATATATATATATATTTGCTTCATCGTGACCGCCTTTCCCTTATCGTCAATTTGTATCGTATGCTGTGCTGCGCATCGTATTGCGAAAGTTACACTCCGAAACGCATATCTTTTGATTTGTTCCTACTAACAATGTGTCACCGTAACGCCTCGTTTTCTGTCGATGCGAACTCGCCATGTGTTCTAACNTCCAATGATGGGAGAAAAAAAAAAGACAAGACTGCGAACAGACTGCGACGCTGGCAATTTTTGTGTTGCAGGTGCGTTGATACCATGCAAGGACCGCCTGAGCCGAGCCCACTCCCTTGTCTGCGACGATGATATTATAATAGCAATGAGGGTACTTCTCTTGGGAGTGACGGAGACGAAGGAAAGGGAAAGGGAAGAAAGGAGGACGAAGACGACCATGGAGGAGGAAAACATGAACGAGTGGAAGAGAGCCAAGGGTTTGAGCCAGATGACCTTCCCCAAAAACAAAAGACGTAGGGCTAGGAAAGAAATACCCAGAAATTCTTGTCGAAATGAGGATCAGTATCATGGTAGCGAAAACAAGGGGGATAATGGTGAAAGTACTCTTGAACGAACTCGAGTACAATGTGATATGTTATTAATACCCTATGTTCCTATTGTTTTCGTGGAAAGCCTTTGTTCATTAAAAACAAATTTCCTTACTCCGAGTAAATAAATACTCTCTGCCTCCGGCTGTCGCATAACAACCGAATTCAGATATTGTGCGTCTCTGCGCTTTCAATATACAACCGACTTGTTTCCTCTTCGCGGCATTATTTATCTCATTTCAAAACTCCACCCGCACACACTTGCCATCGCCATTCAACCTACGAGCATAGCGGCGACCGCGAAGCGGCCCCTGTATGTTCTACGTTCATACACCGTCTATCTATGTTTCGGTCCAACGTTCCGACTTTGTGCAAGCTGTCCTGCTGCGGGTCGTGGGTGCTTGTTCGCTACAGTATGTACCACAGCGTTTGTTTGCCTGTGTATCACGAAGGGTGAGAGCCAGGGAGGTGTAACAATGCATGATGAGCAGCCAAGACCCGAGCAGCAGAAAAAAACAGCAGCAGCAGCACANGGCCCCTGTATGTTCTACGTTCATACACCGTCTATCTATGTTTCGGTCCAACGTTCCGACTTTGTGCAAGCTGTCCTGCTGCGGGTCGTGGGTGCTTGTTCGCTACAGTATGTACCACAGCGTTTGTTTGCCTGTGTATCACAAGAGTGAGA